GCAGTGAATGTTCTTAGCAGGCAAACGTTCGCTGGAGAGAACTGCGCAAAACACATGATCGTACCGGCTGCCCTGGTGAGCGCCGCTATTTTTATGCGTTTTTGCATGCGTGCAAGCTGTAACCCACGCTGGAATGCACCAGGCGAACCGGTGCGGTCATACGTTTTTGCACAATTTTTAGCGGATTTTTAATGCTGCGTTAATACGATTTGTGTCCGCGTTGGTTTTATTGAGTATCTTTTATTTGTTTACATTACATATCATTATTAGACCACATTAGTAGATCACATGCGCATTATCTGCGCTACTGGTCACTGAAAATTCAAATTATCATAGAGATGACTTTATTTGACACGATGAGTACATGAAGTAGCTTCCTGATGAGTATCTATGTTGTTTCGCTACGAATCGTGAGAATCCGACCTTGGCTGTCGGTTGCGATTGCTGTTTTGCTGCTGTTGTGATAAAGCAGATCTATACTTTAATCATTTTATGCGTTATATCTGGTCCAGATTTGCTCATGAAAATTAGAAAGAAGTATGTGCCGTGACTTATGCTGAAATTGCTTACATCCATGTCAAGGGTTGTATTTCCATTGGTAGTGGGCACATTTACATTTCAAATTTTTAGCCCAAATTCTTCCACCGTTTCCTTAAAACGGGGATTTACTGTTTCAGTAATGTTGTGAATAAAATCACCCATTACTAGTTTCCGTCCCTCTTTCGCAGAACGTCTCGCTAGAAACGACCGAATGGTGCCAATTATTACTCCGGGACTTGCGTATGCTTCTGCAATGAGCACATAGCGTAGTTTTAAAACAGTTGCATCCACCGGTCCTTACATCCTCCAATGCTTATGGAGGCTGGGTCGCAAAAATCACTTAGCAGTCGCTGCGATACCAAGCAGCATGCTCCACAGGCTTTTTTCGCGATCCCTTGCAGTCAACACGTGCAACCGTCTTGTAATCGCTGATGTTGATTTCATCCTGCGGGCATTGTCCGAGTCTCTCCGAGGAGTATGACGTCGCTTGCTGTGTAGACAGCGTCATTCTCCATCTGACCGCGACGCTTTGCAAAGATCTGTAAACTGTGATATACAATTTGGACAGCGGAGCGTGTTGTTCGAAGAAATTTGAAGTGGGGCTG